GGCAGATCTCTAATATGAACTCGAGGACGAGTTCTTTCAAAGAAGAGAAGCTTGATGTAGGACAAGCTTTTAATAATTTTTGTATTTTTAGTTTTAATATTTTTGATATATTATTTTATTAGGACTTTTGTAATTCAGTATAAATATTTTAGAATTGTTAGGTTTCTTAATTTTATTATTTTGGAATTAGAATTTGACTAGGATTTTAAATAGTTTAGAATTTTAGTTTCATATTCTCTTAGGTTTTCTAATTTGTGTTGATTCAAATTTCCTAGTTTATTTTAGAATTACTTTTCCTACAAGTATTAGGTAGTTTATTATAAATAAGCCTACAAGCATATGTAATAGAGGTCATTAAATCAATAGTATTTTAAAGAGTTTTTCTTCTATCTTCCTTGTAGATTCAAGGGTGTTTTTATGGATTCAAGAATTCTCGTCTGCTAGAACAATATTTAGTCTCGTGTGATTTATTCCGCTGCCTCAAAAGAATTCTTCTCGTGAAACTCAATTGATTCCAAGCTCTATGTCAAATGTACTTATTGTATTTAGAAACCTAAGTTCATAGAGATTGAGGGATTAAAACTTGAGACTTGGATCAAAAGAGTTTATGTATTCTTTAATCATGATGCAAAGAAAAATTAGGAAAATGTAAACGAGTTCAAGAATTCTTTAATCATTTTTTGGTTAATACGCTGACAATATTGTCAACTGAATTTCATTTGGGAACTATGAAATTTTGTTGTCCCCTGGTAGCAGTTTAATAACTAGGAGCCATATTCAACAAAATCAATCACTAAACTTTTAGGCAGCATGCATTTTTGTCTTGAACATGAGCACAGGACTCTACATAAACAAAATTCATGGCATACTAGAAAAATAAATTTGGTTATTAGAAAGTCCATTAAGTCAAGCAACGACACAATCCAATAGTCTTTGGATGCAATCCAAGTTCCCTCAAGCAATGACACACATTGGTTCAATGTTCTTGTAGTCCTTTTAAAGCAAGGAGGCTTTTGAGTGCATCTTGGAAATGCATTCCATCAAACATGAAATCCATGGCATAAAAAATTAGTCACCGTTTTATTCAAGCAACAATCATAACCTACTTAATTCCATTAGAATCACAGAGCAGTCATAAAATGTTCCAACATTGCATCAACAATGCGAAGATTCTTGCTTTCATTCTACAAAAAATCACCATGAAGTTGAAGTCGTAGAAAGTCCAATCCAAGAGAGGGAAATAGAAGCTCTTGTGCAGGTCGTTATTCTACTTCTATTAGAAGCCATGTCCAATTTTGAGACCAATGAAAGTTGAATTTCTGTGAAAATTGTTTTAAAAGTTAACCATATTGATCTCTGGTTTACAAAATTCTTTGTTTTATTAGCTTATATGATCCATTTAGAAGCCTTCATCTCCACTAGCTTGTCATGTTGCTCATTAACTATGAATTTGCAGAAAGACATGTTGTCGGCCCAAATATTGGTTTGCACTGAGGAATCGCCGCTGGTGGCAAGGGTGGGGAAACGGGTGGCCGCTGACTAGTGGGGGTTTTCGTTCTCTTGCTTTATGTTACGTTTTTTTTTTCTTGGGTAAATTTCAAATACACCCTTGAAATTTAATTAAAATATGAATTATAATCTATAGTTTTAGAAATTATATTTTGTCCCTTCAAATTTTTAATTGCATAACAAATGATTATTTTTATGAATAAATCATCAAATCAAGTATCACTTTTTAATGATGTTACAACTATATTTTAATCAACAATTCATATAATTTTATTATTATATATGAGAGTAGTTAGGAATTTGTTATTTTCTATTGGTTCTGTTAAATAAAAATTTTCGATGAGAATTGTCCAAAATCACGAAAGACAATCTATATTTTAAACAAATGTTAAGGAGTGTATTTGTAATGTATTCCTTTTTTTTCTTTTATCCTTTTTTCATTGAAATCAAAAAGAAATCATTTTAGAACTACTATAAGGCCCCGTTTGTTTTAGGAGGTAGGATGAATGAGATTGTTAGAGATTGCTAGTGAAGGGATTGTTAGTGAAGAGATTGCTAGTATGGGAATTGTTAGTGAGGAGATTAAGGAAAATTGTGTTTGTTTTGATGGTAGTCGCTAGCGTAGAATTGCAGATGGGTGTGGTGAAAAAAGCTTGGTTAGAGACATAATTCATAATGGATCACATGGATGTGTCTATAATGCGTTCCGTTTGGAATACTCCTTACCCCACAACTTGGACATAAGAAATGAATTGAATGATTTGAAAATCTCATGCTTGTTTGGTCATGTACCAAATGATGTTTAGGTTAGGGATAAACTAGAGACCTGTAACTTTAAGGATGAACAAATCTAGCAAATATAAACAAGCATTTTGGTAAGCAATTTATGAACTCACACATTTGAGTAACATGGAAAGCACTAATTCATGGCATCTAAAATTAGTCCCTTTGGAACTTGGCATTGGCAATTAGTGCATTACTCTTCTGTCGAAGTAACAACCATGGCCTACATAGGTCTAACAGAGGTAGAATGACATAGCATCTGTTAATGTCCCAGCATTGCATCTTCAATGTCCAGATTCTAGATTGAGTTGTGCAAGAATGTCTTAATAGTTGAGTTGAAAAGACTGGCAGAAAATTTGCTGATTGGATGTGTATCCATTAAATTTACACATGTACCTACGCATTATAAAATGAAATGGTAGATTGGAAACCAGTCAAATTATAAACTAGTGAAAAGAAAACACATTTCTGTAATTTCAGTTCAACTTGTTTGACAAAATCCATAGACTCACAAATTCCAAGAATCACAGAATAAACATTAACATTCAATTCTCAACGAAGTTCAAAAGGGCAAAATTGATCACAGTACCTTTGGGTCTTTAACTGCTGTATCACTCTTCTATACACAATTTGCAGATTTTATAAATCATCAGAAAGTCACCAAATGGCCGCCTAATAGAGTACAAGGACGGAGGACCCCCATGTGGATGGAGATGCGGCTTGAGGATGGCCACATAGTTCGTGTTTTACATATATTTTTGTGGATTAGTCTACAAGCTTAACCATCAGAGATTAGATTCCTAGCAATGTTCTGAAATTCTACCTTTGTCAAAAGTCGTGTCGAAATTTCAGATTACCACCAAATTGAAATGCTATGAAAAGTGTTTTTGAGTTTTTCCACAATTGACAGCTTCCATTCAAAGGAGAAGTGAGATCAATTAAGGTGTCACATTAGCAAAAATGTGGAATTGCCTATCAGCTAGATAATCATCATGCATATTCTCTACTTTTATGAGTTAGAAAAAAACAAATTAAAAAAAAAAAAAAAAAAAAATTGATTTACATCCACATACCACATTAGTAGTCCTGAAGTCCCTAGTTTTACAGGTGTTCCCTTTGGAAAGTTACCTCAATATTATTAAATGGGAGGAAAACTACATTCAATGGAAAATTGCTATTAGTGAAACAGAGGAGGCTCCAAATCAGTGGAATAACAATTGTCCATTCCTTCTTTGAAATCCAGCACACTGTCCTCTATTTCACTAATAAGTTGCCTAAGGATGCAACAGTTTCTATCACAAATAAAAAATAAATACAGAACGGTAAATAATAATTGAGTATACAATATTGCAAACTCACACACACACACTCAAGTATGCCATGAAATCAGTATAACAAGTAAATTTTTATAGTTTAAGGGAGAAAGGGTGCGCATTCACAGGTCAAAGGAACTTTTCAGCCATTGATGTTGCCCATCTATTACACTCAGCCATTGATGCTGCCTATCTATTATACTCAATTGACTCCGCCTCCGGACCTGAGAGCAATAAGGGCTTGCACCCATCACATTGGAAAAATATAGCCAAAAAATTAGCTTACTGACCCTGTAAAAATTGAAACAAATGTCTCTACCTCAAATATCAGAGTTTTTAGCTTTGAGACTACATATTAGACAACCAGTTGCCCAAAAGCTTAAGCTATTGGGGAATGGGTTGAATATGGTACATCAAACTCTCTGCACTTGGGCTCCATTTGTTTCAACTAGAAATAAAGCTTTTAAAAAAAAAAACTGTCGAATAATGTGTATACCCATACAACGCTGATTGAGGGCCCGAGACTTCGGGGCTCGAATGCCCCGAAAGTCCATTTTAGGTAAGAAAAAAAAGAAAAAAAAAAGAAAAAAGAAAAAAAAAAAAAACAGTTTCCAAAATTGGAAATTAGGGGTATTAGGGGCAAAAAAAAAAAAAAACTGTCGAATAATGTGTATACCCATAATGAGATGATTGTGGCTTAATGAAGTGTTTAGATAGTTCGCAATGATAAATAGTGCATAAACCACATCAAGGAATTCCAAAACTAACATATAAGCAACATACCAATTGTTTTGCACAAATCATCAACTTTCTGCTCTGTAAAGGCAAAAGTATTAGAACCATGCCTAAAACCATGATTCCTCCCAAACCAAATATAGCTTTAATGTGATCACAGAATTAATAACTGAACCACCACATGTACATTCTTAAGCAAAGCAGGTCAGTAAATGCATAGACTTGCCCTCAAAATTCAACTTGTGACCTCTATCCAACTACACCCAACATCTTTCTGCTGTTGGAATGCTACTAACTTACCCTACAATTTGGACATCAGGCAATGGCTTGAATGGTTAAAAAATCTCACGCAAATTTGATCACGAACCCAACTGATGCTTAGATTATAGACAAACTTCAGACTTCTTAAGTCATGTATATCGAAATCTAGCAAACATAAATTGTACCAACCAAATCGCAATTTAACATTACTGCAAAAAGCAGCACTTCAGAACATTTCATCTGTCTCTGGGCATCAATGTACTTCTATCTGTTCGGATTGAATACCAAATAGTAAGAACTTATCATGATGAATACAACTCATATATTCATTGAGCAACCCATAATGTGGCTGTGTTACATATCTAATTGTTGAGAACTGAGACCAAACAAACACAATGGCAAAAAGTGTTAGGTGTGTTATGACACCCACCAAAACATAGGATTCCACAGTATTGTATTTTTTTTTATTTTTTTTTTTGGCACAAGAAAAGAACTTCATTCTTTAATACATACAAAAAATAACACAGTTCAAGAAACAACCAACAACATGAATAAGTGTTGCAAACACTTGAGCAAAAACAAAAAACACCACTAGAGGTAACATAATTGACACAAAGCTAACAGCAGATTGACTAGAGGCTGCCAAGTAGGATCGTTCAATATCAGAAGTAGGCCTCTCCATGAGAAGAAGAGATGCAAGGAAATGCTGCAAACCGGGCTAAGGAAAACGCTGCTGTAAGCAAACTCCGTGGCTGTATAGATAATTGGCATGAATGAAAAGATTGTGCGAGATAACAAAAATCCAAAAACCATGTAGCTGCCACCACCTGGATATCTTTGCTGCCCTCCATCTAGTGAAATAGAGTCTCAGAGTTAGTAACAATATTAATATGAAAAAAACTGTGCTTATGAACCCATTTAAGATCAGAAACAGATGCCGCTAGTGGAGCAAAAGGCTTGTGCACAGTAAGATCATGAAATTTGGATTTCAAATTTGTTCAGATCTCCAAAAGTTTGGCGAACAGACAATGCCATTAAAATAAAATATCTAGATATGTAGACTATTTGAACACTGGTTTTCTCATGAAGTCTATGGAATGCTGAACCAAGTGATCAAATTGTCATTTTCCTGCAAAACTACAACAGAGATTTTGCATATCAATTGAGCCACGAGATTGCAATAGTGGCAACTCTCAAAACATCATAAGATTAGAGAGCATATCTTGAGACATACATATATGCATATGTGTGTTCTCTATTATTTAACATGAAATTTGAAAGGTAGTTATACTTCTTTTGGAAAATTAAAACATAGATGAAGTGTTGCTCAATTTGTTCAATTTCAAGAAGCGAAGGAATGCATTGGGTCAAAAAGTTAGAATTTTCGAACCTAGTAACAATAATAATTTGAAATTTTTGTTTTGACATGGTTTTGGATCATTAAAGTCATAAATATCACCATTTTTTTTAACTTCATTCTTAAACTATCATTTTCAAAAATAAATATTTTTAGAAACTAAATAGATGAAATTGATAGTTTAGAGGAAATAAAGAAAATGTCGATAGTTTAGGGAATACGAGTGAAATTAACCCTTTAAAAAAAAAGGAGGGGAAAGAGAGGGGAAAGAAACAGAGCATGGGACCAACCAACCTGATGTAAATGTTGTAAGATCGAAGACAGCTCAATCAATTGAGATGGAAGGCACGTGCTGGACTTTGTAGAAGTCTACTCCTCCCTCTCTAACCCTTTCTCTTAGTGCTTCAGATACCCTTTTGATCTCCAATTCCTGGAGGGTGGTAATGAATCTCAATCCATAAGGAATCTTCTTCAATTTTTCGGATCCACGAATTACTAAACGGAAGAGACAGGGCATGGCTCCTTGTTCCACCCTCCACTCCTCCAAGTTACTAAGATACCAGAGCTGTAAAGATTTGAGTTTTGGAAAACCTCCACCATCACAGCCGCCATAGCCCCCTCCTCCTCCTCCACCTCCACCACTGCTGCTGGATGGTGCTGTTGTTGTTGGTGCAGAAGAACAAACCATCTTCTTCCCAAGGTAGGAATTATAATTGAAGTCGAGAGTCCTTAAGTTGGGCAACTTCTCCAATGTTGGCATTGGGTCTTCCTCTAGTTTAGTTTGCCCCAAGATTAACAGGGTGAGATTTGGAGGGAATTGGTCTGGAAATTTATTAAGATTCAGGGACCCCAACAATATAAGCTGGCGAAGATGGTGGCATCCTAAAAGTTGCCTTAAAAGGCTTTGTTCTTCTCCCGTTCGGAAATCTCCATTTATCTTGAAGGATGAATATTGCAAAAGACAGTTTGAATTGTTGAGGATTGGGGATTTCAACATCACGACCAAGTCTTTGGGGGCTACATCACCACTGAATTTTCGAAGATTTGTTAGTTTAGATAAGCATCTGACATCACAATCCTTTGCATTAAAGTTTTTTAGCGTCTCCAATTTGCTTAAACCATCAAATCGCAACTTACTTATGCCAGACAGTTCGATTCCATAAGGAAGATATAGATGTCTCAATTGTTTCAACCTCCACAAGACATTGGGTATTCTTAAAATATTGCACCATCTCCGTACCCTTAAATCTAGGGTTTGAAGGAATCCCAAGTTGCCTATAGAGGAAGGTAAACTTTGAATATTAGAACCTCTAATACTTAAAAACCTCAGGGAAATTAGGCTTCCTATTGCTCTCGGACACTTTATATCTTCCGCATATGGAGTAATTTTCCTATGTGCAGGAATTCCTCCAAGGTCTAAAATGGTAAGCAATGTGAGATCCTTAAAGAATAATTTTAATTTTTGCCAACGAGAACTTTCCAATTCATTGCCAAAAGAGTAAAATTGGCACGATCGGATATGGCTGTAATTCTTCATTTCATGTCCAGATAGGAGAATAACATTTTCACTTTTTATAGAGTTGGCATCATGGTCACCCAAATAGTACACGGCAAGTCTGCGAATTGTTGTTAATGGTGATGATGAAGAAGGCAGCGCAGAGTCTGCCCAAGCAAGCTGATGACCAAAGGCTTTAATGCGAACAATCTCTAGAAAATTCTCCTCTTTGGCCTTCAACAAGCATAAGTCTCTCATGAGATCGTGGAGGCGACAAAGTTTAATCCTTTTTCTAAAGCTTGTTAATTGGACTTGAACCATGCATCTCTGGACTAACTCACCCAAGTAACTCATTCCAACATCCAACATTGTTTTCTCTCCTACTTCTCCTATTCGTGTTGGTATCGATGACGGCGACACAATGCCTTCAGCCATCCACATTTGAATTAGTTTTTTTGCACGAATATCATGATCTTCAGGAAGATGGCTCAAATACAAAAAACAAGCCTTAAGATGGTAAGGCAAGTCTTGGTAGCTTAAGGCTAAAATTTCTGTTATTGGGACTCCTGCTCGGCCTTTGCCCTTACCTAAGTCATAACTAATGTTTTCACTCACCTTCTCCCAGTCCTCCAGTGTGTATTTTGTTGCCAAAAGTCCTCCTAATACCACAATCGCCAATGGAACACCACCACAATGCTTGACCATTTCCTTTCCTAACTCAATCATTTTTGTGTTTAATGTGAATCCTGCAAGATTAGATGGGGAAAAAGTGCATCTGTTGGTAAGTTTGTACTAGTCTATATGGACGGTACTGATATAAATTAAAAATAGCAATGTGTATCTATATTAAAAACAGAAAGGCCAAACAGGTATCTATATTAAATAAAAATAGCAATGTGAATCTATCAATAGGTCCTACGGGAACTTACGTGTAGGTGCTAATAAGTGGATTTATTGTCCAATAGATCATATAATAATTAATAATGTTTTTCATCAAACACTAATAAAAAAGCCACTAATTGTTAATTTTCAATAACAGTTTGAAAATTTTCTCACAAAAAAGTCGCTAATTATAAGTTTTAGCGACAGTTTAAAAAAAAAATCGCCTCAAAAAAGTCACTAATTTTCAACTGTCAGTGACAGTTTGAAAAATTCATCACAAAAAAGTCATTAATTGTAAGTTTTAGCGACAATTTATAAAAATCGTGACCAAAAAAAGTCACTAGCTGTCAATTTTTAGCGACATATGTAAAATATCGTCACAAAAAATTATTTTTTGTGACAATTTTACTGGGATTTATTTCAACAGGACTTGATATGAATTAAGTCCAACTATTAGGACCTATTGGTAGTTTACCCTTAGTCGTAATAGTTAGACTTAATTCTCATCAAATCCTATTGAAAATAAGCCTTAGTAAAATTATCGTTAAAAATAATTTTTTGTGATGATTTTTTGTATATGTTGCTAAAAATTAACAATTAGTGACTTTTTTTGTCCCGTAACAAATTTTTCAAACTGTCATTGAAAGTTAAAAATTAATGATTTTTTGTAACGATTTTTTTAAAACTGTCGCTAAAACTTATAATTAGTGACAGCTTTTGTGACAAAATTTTCAATCTGTCGCTAAAAATTAACAATTAGTGACTTTTTAAATAGTATTTGATGAAAAACGCCATTAATTATCATAGAACCTATTAGACAATAAGTTCATCTATTAGGACTTAACACATAAGTCCCCCAAACAATAATGCTAAGAAACAAATAAACATACCAATGAATTTGTTAATTACAACACAAAAATTATATGTAAGTTTCATCACTTGACATAAGGTCCAACTAACATTGTGTCTAGGCTAAAATTCTTTGTTCCCAAACCTATATATATATATTAAAATGATACACGAAAATGAATTGGGTGAAACTATTTTTAAAAATTGATTTTGAGAAAATTCTCAAGATTTTAAACCTTACATAAAAAATGAAAATAATATAAACTTTTAACAAACTTATCTCAAACAAACTTTGAACAAGTTAAACACGAATTGAGCTGAAGTATTATAGTCTGTTCTACTAACAAAATATTGTAACATAAGTTATTTTCATATATTATATTTGTTATCTAGACAAATCTAGAGCGTGCATCCCTAAGGACGTAGGTGCATATTGTAAGAAGGTTATGATTTTATATGATGAAAGTAATGAATAGTTGTAATGTGTTATGTTACTATATGGTAAAGTTACCAATGGTGAATAAAAAATGATAAACAAGTGGGTCTAATTTATGTTGTGCATCTTAACGTTACTAATGGTGAAGTTATGTGTTTTGACTTTTTTAATGATATTTTGTGTGAGAAGTTATGACTTTTGTGGTGAGAAAATTTATAAAATTTAATGGTTATGACTTTTGTGGTGAGAAAATTTATAAAATTTAATGGTTTATGTTCTTTGTAAAACTTTTCAGGAGAGTTATGAAGAAGATACCACATGCGCCCCTTTGAGATGCACATTGTAAGATTATAGTATAGGATTGAGATTGTTAACTTATGTACTCACAATCCCATTTTTTATTGTAGATTTTATCAACTAGATTACATGTCAACAGACATTTAATTCGATGAAATTGATGAATTTTTTATAGGGCAGTGTTTCATCCCCCGAAAGGGGGGAGCCCGAATCCCCCGAATTTGCCATTTCAAGTAAAAAAAAAAAAAAAAAAAAAAAAAAAAAAAAGAAAAGAAAAAGAAAACAGTTTCTAAAAAAGGAAATTAGGGGGATTAGGGGGAGGGATTTTAGAGCTACCAATCTTTATCCTTTTTTATATTAAGAGGGGCGGGGATCATAATTTCAAGTATGAAATAAATATATGAAAAAAAAGAAAAAAAAACCAATATAAATATCTAATAAATTGTTATCTCAAAAATTTAATTGAATAACTAATCCTACACTAATTCACGAAATTGTTAATCCTTTTGCTATTAATCAAACAGGGCCTTAGTTATTCTTGAATTCTAGACCATAACTACATGGCCTAAGGTATGTATGTTTTGTTTTGTTCTAGTTAGTTTTGTATGAATATTTTGCCTAATGAATTCTAAAAAAATGAACAATTTGAATTTACCGAAATTGGTCCAAAATGAGCCCATCAAAACCAAACTATTCTCTCAAATTGAATTGTCAAATTGAAAGAATTCAAATCCGAAAGGAAAGTAGTTTAAGATAGACATTTGAAACTTTAAAAGCACAAATAATTAATTAGATCATGCAAGATGTTAATAATTACCAGTACCTTCATTTCTTCTCGGAAATGTTTTCTTCTCAAACAGCTCCCAACTCTCTTTTTTTGTTAAGTGCCTCAATTTATAAAGCACGCATTGTTGATCTACATGCTTAGCAACATTTTTGTTAGGTTTTATTTCTTGGCAAACCCGTTTGACAAAACTCCTTTGAGTTGTAATTTTATTCGCATTTTTATTTCAGTGAGACTTTGAGTGTTTAGATGCGAATCCAACCCGAATCAAGCATTTCAGAGAAGTTTGTGATGATAAAAACATCTAGAGGATTTCTAGATTTTTCAATTTTTATTGCGAGTTGTTAGCAATATTTTGCTGCCTACCTCTGTAGTATTTGGGAAGCCTGGACTCAAACTATCCCAATCCGCATCCTTCCAAATGTCATCGAGAATCACCAAACATTTGTTCTCACTTTGGACTTGATGAAGTTTCTTGACTAGCTCATCATGATTCAACTTTCCAATTGCTTTCCTTTCTTCGTTTGATGGAGAGAGAAGTTTGATAAGAATCCCTTCAAGAACTTCCCTTGTATTACATTGTTGAGATATATAGGCCCAGGCAACACATTTAAAATGACGCCTAATTTCAATGTGTTTGTAAACCGTCTTAGCAAGGGTGGTCTTGCCAAGACCACCCATCCCCCAAATGGAAACAACTCTATAACGTGCCTTCTCCTTCACCAAAAGATCCACTATTGCTTTTACATCTTCTTCTGTGCCGACAACATCCTCCTCAACAATATGGGTATAGGATCGCATTAATTGTCGCTGCCTCTCAGCCATAGAAGTTGATGATGAACTTTCACCTACTCCTGCAGAATTTAGTATTCCACGAGTTTGAAAACCTGTTGTGAGGATTTTGTCGATCCTGGTATTAATATTGTTAATCTCCAACCTAACCTCACGAAGGGCTAAACATTCCTTGAAGATACGCAAATACCTCTTGAGAACGAAAGGGAACTGATCTGATCTCCCACTAGTACGAAATGCAATTTTGACAAGAAAAGTTGCAATTGCAGCGTCAGCATCATAGGATGCTTCTCTGATCTCAGCAACGCAGTTGCGGATTATAATCTCCTCTGCTCCTCCTTTTGGTCTTGCATCTGCAGCTTCTAAGAAGCATTGCATCCGATTTAGCTGGGCTTGCAATTGCTCAACTTGAGGCCGCACCCCACGCAAGTTTAGCGCTTCCTGGAGGAGCAACTCACCCAACTTTTTCACCACAAAGGTTACAAAAGATTGAGCTACAATTTCCGCCATACTCCCCAAAGTGTTTTCACGGGTGTACTACTAATTAATAATTACAGTGGTATTATGGATATGGACTTGGGGCCAAACGCACAATTATTGACTGTCAGCAACCCAACTTATTTAACTTACCTGATTGAATAAAAATGTTCATAAATTGTGTTCGGTAGCAATTTTAAATTATTACTTATTTAAAATCTTTAACTTAATAGGGGAAATACATGTCAGGTATTTTCAAAAATAAATTACAAAATCATAAAAAAAGAGAATGATTTGAAAATATTTTTTAAAGTACACACAAAAGTGATATTTTCCCTAGTTTATTTTGCCAAAAAAAAAAAGATAGATTGTCTTAAGTAAATTTTTTATTTTATTTGAAAATATTAAATATGTATTGATAAGAGAACCATCTGTTTTGTCATTATTATATCTTTCGAAAGGATCTTGGATATTTGGCTAACATACAGACACACCCAAAAAAAAAACAAAAAAAAGTTATTTCAGAACTTATTTAACTAAATAGGTCCAATTTTTTTTTAATGAAAAGTTACAACAAATAAATAATTTAAAAATTGTAATCTTAAAAACTAACTTATAAAAATTGGTTGGGAGATTTATATTTTTTTCCCTAGATAAAATTACTCATGCATATATATATATATATATATATAGGGTAAATTACATTTACCTCCCCTGAGGTTTCTGACAATTATAGGGACCTCCCCTGTGATTTGAATAATTACAGTAACCTCCTCTACTTTACCTAACAATGTCAAGATTCTCCCAAACCGTGACTGCCGTTAAAAGATCTAACAGAGAGTGCTGATGTCACTCATTATAAATTATGAAATGTCAAAAATACCTTCATTACCTTCTATTTCATCAAGTTCTACTGCTTCACTGCCTTCTAATTTACCTTCTACTCCTGCAGCATCATTGCAGCAACCTATTCACCATTGCAGCACCTCCCACAAAATCAGAAATATACATAAAGGTATATATATGTAAGAAATCACCCCCTTTCTATTTTTTATTTTATTTTATTTTTTTTGTGATATTAAAATATATACGTAATCCATTACATAAATGGTATATATATGAGATTATATGTAAGGTATATATATGAGATTAAAATATACATAAACGCTGAGGTATATATATGTAAGAACCCACCATTGCAGCAACCCATTCAATTCTCTGTTTTTTTTTTTTATTCAATCAAACATATATATATATATATATATTACATAAATGACCAAACCCACCACACAAATTTGTTAAACAACTCACCCCCTTTCTGTCCTCCTCTTTCTCCTACTCCTCTTCTTCTTCTTTTTTCTGATCGAAACCCATATTGCAACCAACTACCCCAAACCGTGTGAGATATATATTGATTCAATTCTCTATTTTATGTTTGATATATATATATTGATTCAATTCTCTGTTGTTTTTTTATTTATTATTATTTAATCAAACACACACACACACACACACACACACACACACATATATATATATATATATAAATACATAAAGGTATATATATGAAAGATATTTATGTATATATATGTGTGTGATATATATATATATATATTGATTCAATTCTCTGTTTTTTTTTTTATTTTCAATCAAACATATATATATATATATATTACATAAATGACCAAACCCACCACACAAATCTATTAAACAACTCACCCCCTTTCTGTCCTCCTCTTTCTCCTGCTCCTCTTCTTCTTCTTTTTTCTGATCGAAACTCATATTTCAACCAACTGCCCCAAACCTAGATTGTGACCCAACATTGTTTCCATCACTGCCTACCATCACTCTCAAAACCATAGATCTAGGATTAGGGTTTTGAAAGAAGAAGAAGAAGAGGGAGAGAAGAAAAGCAGACGGCAAATGGTAGAGGAGAGGGAGTGGAGGAAGAAGAATGAGAAAGAGGAAAGGCGGAGGTGAAGGATAGAAAATGACAGACGATTGAAAGGAGAAGAGAAAGAAGATGCCCCAATGGCGCCGGCGAGGAGGAGCTTCTCTCTCGTTTTGATCTGACGAGAGAGAACAAAAACGAGAAACAAATTTAAAAAAAAATTGAATATGGTGGAGAGATGGTTAACAATCAAGGGTATTTTTGTCTTTTCGCGCTTAAATAAAAGGGTAATATGGTCATTTTGTATAGGAAAGTAACGTTGTTTGTGCAAAATTGACGGTTTGGGGGAATCTTGACATTGTCAGGTAAAGTAGGGGAGGTTACTGTAATTATTCAAACCACAGGAGAGGTCCCTGTATTTGTCAGAAACCTCAGGAGAGGTAAATGTAATTTACCCTTTAATTTATGTATATTTTTGTCCTACATGGTATCATCAATGGTTCAGATTACATTTCTTAGCTATCCAAGAGTCAAGATGATTTCTTTATTTTGTATTTTCCTTCAAAATGGGTCATTCAATACGAGCAAGGATCCTCTAGAGTGATTTTTTCCTAAAGTTTCCTAGAGTGCTCCATTGTGTGGTTGAGATTTATTGGCAAGTCACATCAATTTTTCTGATGTGACTTGCCAGTGAATCTCAACCACACAATGGAGCACTCTAAGGAACTTTAGGGAAATTTCACTCTAGAGGATCCTTGGTGCATTCAATACCTCTCTTCCCCGTGATCTATTCCATCTTCCCATGATATGTTCCGCCTCTCTCTCTCTCTCTCTCTCTCTCTCTCTGCGTGACATAATTTCCCAGATTGATCTACCAGATTATGTATCTATGAAACTCTAATATAGCGTATCCTTTGTAGTTAATTCTTGCAAATTTACTTGCACTTTCAAGATTCACTTTGGATAAAATTATTTTTTTTATTGAGTGAAACATGCTAATGTGGTATCTTTTTAATTTTTTTTTTAACTTATGACAACTGATTTTGTGGCTTTTAAATTTTTGACTTTTCAGCCTATTGCCAAACGCGTTCTTAATTCTCAATCCACATCATTAGTTTTGTTTAATTTCTTATTTTATTTTTTTTTATTTTCCTTTTTCAAAGTAATTGGTTCTCTGCATTTGATATTTAATCATTTGTATTTTTTTAAATCATCTATTTAACGTGATATCATTCTTTGATTTTTAAGTGGATAACATAAATTCTACAACGGCAAAGCGAGCTTGCACTAGCTGTATTGTGTGTATTGCTTTAGTTGCCTTTATTGCTTTAGTTCATCAAATCTATATGTGTGCATTCAAATTTATTGGTTCATTGTGATGGTTGTGTGGTGCCTTTTTTTTTTTTTAAATGTGTTTTGTGCATAAATTTCAATTTCAGTTTGGACTTTCCAGGTGATAAATGATGAACTTCATAATTTTGGGTTTCATCTTTTTATGTTGATAAATTATTGAATTTCATTATGTTCTTTTTTTAAAAACATAATTATTATTAATGATCAAATCATGTTTAGAAAAACACAATAGATTTTGCATAATTGGGACTTTTGTCCCTACTAAATATGAGTATCTCAATGTTTTCCTAATTCATAAATTACTGCTTTTCTACTCTTAATGTTTATATTTTTATAAATTTCTACCAAGCTTCTCATGGAAATTGCAGGGTAAGCCTTTTTTTTTTAATGTGTTTTTATTACTATTATCTTAAATGTTTATATCTTAATTATTTTTATCCATGACAGTTATTTATCAATGGTTTTATTATCTTAATTATTTCTATCCATGACAGTTATTTACCAATGGTTTTATTATCCAAATCAATTCAACCGAATGTACAAGTGAAGGTTTTTGAAAATGTCCAATTTCTCTTAGAGAGATATATTTTATGTGTTTTTATGGCTTATTTACGTTTAACTTGATCACAAATTATGTTTTTTTTTTATTATTATTAAAAACATAATTATTGTAACGCCCTCAAATATTAACATTAAATCCATCAAATAAGACATGCATTTACATTTAAACTAACCGCATACCTTTATTCAATCGAATTCCATTACAAAAGTATTACATGTTAACAGCATAACAAAATGCCCTACAGGCTTACAGCTTTCCAAGTTAACACTTGGTTACAACAAAGAGTTCTAACTCGTTTACACATTAAGCCCTTGGCTTGAATTAAATATTAAAAAAAAATTTAAAAATTATTTTTTATTTTAAATGTATCATTTTTATTATAAATATTTTTAAATTATTTTATTTTATGGTTGTGTTGGCCAAAACAAAAGGTTTTTTCGTTTTTTACTTTATGACAGTGATGTTAGTCTTGAAGAAATGATTTTTTTCGTCTTTTTGCAGGCAAAAGCAAGGGTAATATGGTCATTTTATATAAAACACTAACGTTGTTTGTGCAAAATAGACAGAATGGGGGAATCTTGACATTGTCAGGTAAAGTAGGGGAGTAACTGTAATTATTCAAACCACAGGGGAGGTCCCTGTATTTGTCAGAAACCTCAGGGGAGGTAAATGTAATTTACCCATATATATATGATTAATATTAAGATAATGAATATAGTCTATAATACTAATATATGGGAACTTATTATAGAAATAAAGTGATTTGTAAATAAAAAATTCATGCAAAAAGTCATATAAAAATAATGTGGTAATGATATTTTAAAATTTTCAAATCACTTTAAAATGCTTTTTAATTTAAAATGAATGGACGTAAATTTGCCGTGTTATCCCTGTACAAATTTGGTATACAAATTTTATGTTTGCATATCATCACTCATTATAGAATCAATTACTGAAGTCATAAACAACTATTTGTTATGGGTTATCTTTTCTTGTGTTTGATATAAGTATTTCCTATGTATCATAATCTCACCAAAAAAGAAATATTCAGCTATAATATAATTATTTTTTCAATGTTCCACTTAATTGCAATTTCTCCAATCACATTCCATTGTACCAAAGCAAAACAAATGACAACTTGGGTTGCAACTTGCTAATTTATACAACAATACAAATGGATTAATTAAAATGGCATTGAATTTTATTTTTTCTTTTTTATTCCCTTTC